TAGATATTTATAGAACATTTAATTGAACAGCTTCAGGTTACACATTCTCCTCAGCACATGGATCGTTCTCAGAAATAAGCCATATGTTAGGTCACAAAACAAGTCTTGACACTTTCAAAGTGTTAAGTTGAAATAATATCAAGCATCTTCTGTGATCACAATGGAATAAATTAGACATCAATAAAAAGAGGGATTTTAGAAACTATACAAAAATGGAAATTAAACAATATACTCTTGAATGACAGTGTTCATATCTACAAGTGCATATGTGAAAAAAGAAAAACTTCCAATAAATAATCTACTGATCCAACCTAAAGAACTAGAAGAGCAAGAGCAAATCTAACCAAAATTAGTAAAAGTATAGAAATAATAAAGAGCAGAGCAGAAAATAAATGAAATAAAAAAATACAAAAGATTGATGAAACAAAATTTAGTTTTTTGAAAAGCCAAACAAAATCAACAAACTTTTAGCCAGACTAAGTGGAAAAGAGAGAAGGTCCAAATAAATAAAATCCAAGATGAAAAAGTAGACACAACAAATAATGAGATGAAAGCGGTGATAAAAAGTCTCCTGGTAAAGAAAACTCTAAGACCTGACAGCTTCACTCCTGAATTCAACCAAATATTTCAAGGAGACTATTAATCCTACTCGGTATTCCAAAAAATAAAGACAAAGAACTACTTTCAAACTCATTCTACGAAGCCTGTATTACCCTGATACCAAACCCTGACAAAGATACACCAAGAAAAGAAAACTACAAGCCAATATCGCTGACGAATATTGATGCAAAAGTCCTCAACAAAATATTGGCAAACTATATTCAACAATACATTTAAAATATCATTTATCCTGACCACGTGGTATTTACCCCTGGCATGCAAGGATGATTCAACATATGCAAATTAATCAATATGATACACCATGATAAAAAGCAGAAGTCATGTGACCATTTCAATTGATGCTGAAAAAGCATTTGATAAAATTCAACTTCCGTTCATGATAAATACCCTCACCAGACTGGGTATTTATATGAAGGAACATACTTCAATATAATAAAAGCTACATATGTCAGATCCACAGCTAGTACCATGCTGAATATGGAACAACTGAAAGTCTTTCCTCTAAGGTCTATGACATGACAAGGATGTCCACTTTTTTTTTTTTTTTTTTTGAAATAGAATCTCCCTCCCTCACCCAGGCTGGAGTGCAGTGGTGCAATCTCAGCTCATTGCAGCCTCACCTCTCAGGTTCCAGCAATTCTCCTGGTTCAAGCTCCCAAGTAGCTGGGATTAGATGCATGTGCCAGCACACCCGACTAATTTTTGTATTTTTAGTAGAGACAGGGTTTCAACATTTTGGCCAGGCTGGTATTGAACTCCTGACCTCAGCTAATCCATCCTCCTTGCCCTCCCAAAGTGCTGGGAATACAGGCGTAAGCCACTGAGCCTAGCCAAGGATGCCTACTTTTGCCACTATTATTAAACATAGTACTGGATGTCCTAGCTAATCAGAAAAGAGAAAGAAACAAAAGATGTCCAAATTAGAAATGAAAAAGTCCTATTATCCTTGTTTGCAGATGATATGATATTATATTTAGTAAAACCTTCCCAGAAAAATTATTAGATCTAATAAATTCAGTAAAGTAATTTTTATACAAAATTAACAACAAAAATCACATTCTGAAAAAGAAATCAAGAAAGTAATCCCACTTACAACAGTTACAAATATAATATGATATCCAGGAATAAACCAAATAAGTGAAAGATCTCTATAATGAATACTATAAAACATTGAAGAAAGAAATTGAAGAGGACACCAAAAAATGAAAAGATATTCCATGTTCATTAATTGGAAGAATCAATATTGTTAAATTATCCATACCACCCAAAATAATCTACAGATTCAGTTGAATCCCTACATACAATCACTATCAAAATACCAGTAATATTCTTCACAGAAACAGAAAAAACAATCTTAACACTTATGTGGAACCACAAAAGACCCAGAATAGCCAATGCTAAAAGAACAAAACTGAAGGTATCACATCACCTGACTTCAAATTATGCTACAGAGCTACAGTAACCAAAACAGTATTGGTAGTGGCATAAAAGCAGACACATAGACGAATGAAGCAGAATAGGGAACCCAGAAACAAATCCACATACCTATGGTGAACTTACTTTTGACCAAGTTGCCAATAACATACACTGGGGAAAAGACAGTCACTTCAATATGGTGCCCAGAAAACTAGATATCTACATGTAGCAGAATGAAACTAGACCCCTATCTTTCATCATAAAAAAAAAAATCAAAATGGCTTAAAAACATAAATTTAATACCTCAAACTAGTAACTATTGCAAGAAAACATTGGGGAAACTCTCTGGTACATTGGTCTAGGCAAAAATTTATTGAGTAATACAAACACAGGCAACCAAAACGAACCTGAACAAATGGGATCACATCAGGTTAATAAGTTCTACAATAAAAATGAAACAATCAACAGAGGAAGAGATAACACAAAAAATGGGGAGAAAATATTTTCAAACTACCCATCTGACAAGGGATTAATAACCAGGATATGTAAGGTGCTCAGACAACTCTATAGGAAAAAACGTAATGATCTGATTAAAAAATGGGTGAAAGATCTGAATAGACATTTCTCAAAAGAAGACATACGAATGGCACACAGGCATATGAAAAGATGCTCAGCATTATTCATCATCAAAGAACTATAAATCAAAACTAAAATGAGATATCATCTCACCCGAGTTAAAACGGCTTATATTCAAAAGACAGGCAATAATAAATGCTGGCCTTCACCAGCAGCAGTGAGTATGTGGAGACGAAGGAACCTTTGCATTTAATTTAATTACCTGTGTTATAACTTAGAAAAATAAAGTAGTTTTAAATATTTTTCAAGTTATAACAAATATTTACAATTAAACCCAAAAGAAAATAGAGTAGGTCAAAGAACCCACATGTTGCTATTACCCAACTATCAAATTTTCATCATTCTTCAGACATCTTTTTAAGGTCAAATGTTTCATAAATTCTAAGAAAAAAACCTATAATTCAAACTCATTAAACCTGCCTGGATCTTCAAAAGATTTCATCCTCTCCTCTCAGAGTGATAGAGTTCAAATTTAGTGGACTACCCTCACGGAATTGACTTCTTTTCTCAATTTTAATTTTTGAAGTCCTCTCCTTTTAAAATCAAAGTCAGCATATCAAACTGGAGAGAGAGTTCCAAAAGTATTGCACTCGCCTCTGTTCCAATTACTTTCTCAGTGGTCTAGAAGATGAACTATTAACTATTAACAACATAGGCAAATCTTAAACATCATTATGCTAAGTAAAAGAAGCCACACATAAGGGAATGTGCATTGTATGATTCCAGGTTTTCAAATATTCTCAGAGGCGAAACTAGAGGAGTAAAAATGGGGTCAATGGTTGCCAAAAACTGGAGGTGAAGGGAGAAGATTGAATGAAAAGAAGTATAATGGAACTTTCTGGGTGACAGAAATGTATATCTTGATTATGATTGTGCATACGTGATTATATACATTTGTCATAATTCATCAAGCTGTATACTTAAGAGTGGATAATCTTACTCTATGTGAATTATATCTCAACATATCTAGTAATTATGACTTGAGTAATAAGAATATCATACCAAGACATTGCCTGATAGAGCAAATACAGTGGGACTACCAACTCCCTGGTTGGAATAACATGCTATAAAGGTAATTAAAACTGGTGTTTGATGTAGGACAATAATTTTACAGTTTTGTTTCATAGCAAGCTTGTAATCCTTTAAAACATGCTATATGTGTCTAGTTTCTAAAAAATTAAATGCAGTATTTGATACTAATACTTTAAATATTTCATCTTATATATTTAAATCTACCATATGAACTTCATGAGATCTATTATAATCTACATATTTCTGTACAAAGGATTAGATATTCTATACAGCCCTGTGTCATTTACAATTTAGATAACATGCATTTTTCAGAAATCATGAGGGAAATGCAAATAAAAGAACCACAATGGCCAATATTAAAAAATTTAAAAACAGATATTGGCATAAACGTGGTGAAAAGGGAATTCTTATATGCTGTTGGTGGGAATGTAAATTAGTACAACCTCTGTGATAAACAGTGTGGAGATTTCTCTAGTTCAGTTCCTGCAATGCTCCCTAAAGAGTCCTGCGGAGTCTGAAAGATTGGTTCCAATATATATCAATAGACATTGAGGCTAAGAGGAAACAATCTCTAAGTTGTGGTATAATTATTTTTATACTGAGAAATAGCACATATTTTATCTGTAGTGAAATTCATAATAAGAATGCAGAAATAAAAGTGTGAACCCTACTAATAAACAGGAAAAAATATTCTGCTAAATTTTTTAAAATAGGTGAGAAATGATGAAATATTTTAAAAAAATAACTCCAATGAGACATAAAAATATTTGATTTTTTCAAGAGACTTAGTAAAAAAATGCATTCTTTTTCCACAAATATTTTTTCAAACAATGTTTTCTAACATTTCAAATTTAGTTATCACTATAGTCTTGTTCTCAGGGGGCCTACACTGCAGTTGTAAAGATAGGACAGGTCCTAAATCTATTTAAAACATGAATGAAGGAGAAGAAATCCAAAAGTAATGAAGCTTATTTAAAATGTCAAGATTATGGAATTGGGAATTTGAGAGCTAAATTCAGATTTAAAAAAATATATATATTTTTGTATGCCTTCTCTATAACTGTGTATTCATATCTTCTAGAACTATAACTATAAAAGGGTAGCAAGTGAAGAATTCCAGAACATAAGAAATTAGTTAAGGTATATTGATAAGTATCAGCAATACATCATTTCTTAAAACTCTTACACAAAATTTTATGCATATTTAAAAATAAATGAAAAAATCAAGAAATGCCCAAATATAGAGAAAAGGGCAGTTTTGCATAATCACTTGATACAATAGTGGTTTATCTTACCTCTACTACCAGTTGCTGAAGAGATGGTGATGCTACCGGACGTAGAGTAGAATTACCCCTTATGGGACTATGGAGGTTAACATAAGCCACAACATTTTTCTGAAGAACCGTCTTGAAATCCTGAAATCAAAAAAAAAAAAAAAAAAAGGATCTATCTGTGACACAAATAAATAGATTCTACTTTTTTAGATGTTAAATAATGAACATTTCATACTTAATACATTGCAGAATTACTTTCTTAAAAAAGTGATCCTATACTATTTAATAGTGTACACAAAGGTAATAAATGAATTTTAAACAAGAGTAGTAAGAGTTAGATATAACATACAATAAAATATTTCAAAGCATGCACCTGACACAAGTCAAATTTTAATAGAAAATATTCTTCAAAGGTTAACATAGTATGGATTCAGCTACAGAATATGAATGCAACCTAATTTTGGAGCCATTGAATAAAAGAAGAGATATAGATAAACCACTTCAGTGATGAATAAAAACAGCCCTTTTCTTTTGAAGCAGTGAGCTACTCTGCACAAAATAATCCTGTATTATGAGCAAAATGGGGAATAATACAATGTAATCTTACAAATATTACCCTACAAAAAAACGAATGAATTTAATGCACATAAGCAGCACCAATTGATTCCATAGAATAGTTCTCCACTTCTCTTCTGCTCCTTACCCCACAAAATTGAAGCTCACCGATCCTATTAATAAGGACCACTAAATTTTTCTGTTATTTCCCTGCTTTTTCATGAAGGCATTTAACAAATAATTGTCACAGTGGCAGTTCTACAGAAATGTCCTAAAAGATTACATTATATCATAACTTGGGAAAGTATCTTTCTTCTTCCAAAACTATGAAATGAAAGACTACAAGGACTCCTATGCCTATCAAATAGATAATTTCATCCCATTTTATTTTTATTTTTTTCATTGTCAATTGACAGCTTAAAACTGTATAGTTTTATGGAATACAAAGTGATGTTATGATTTATGGATATAATGTGGAAAAATTAAATTAAGCTGGTTAACATATTCATCACCCCAAATAACATTTTTTTGTGATGAGAACATATTACTCAACAATTTTTAAATGTAATTTACTCTATTACTAAGTATATTCACCACACTGCACAGTATATATGGAAGCTGACCATTTTCTCCCCATTCCCTCCATACCCCAGGCTGTAACCACATTCTACACTCTATTCCAGATGTGTAAAGAAAATGTGTTATATATACACAATGAAATACAATTTAGCCTTGAAAAACAAGAAACTTCTCTCCTGATAACATGGATGGGATTGCAAAATACGTATACATATTGTATAATTATGCTAAGTAAAAGAAACCAGGGACAGAAACATAAATATTGCATGTTTTCACTGTTATTCATATTTTATGTTGAACATTCAGCTATGCCTCTGTAAGACGGCAGAAAAGACAATCATTCAAAATTAATAAACATGTTAAGTGCACATAAGTGATAAATTTTAAGCTTGAGTAATTTCTCCATAATACTGTTGAAAAAATATCTGTTAAGTGCTATGAAAAATCAGCCTCTATTAACACATTATCACATAGACACTGTGTATATATTAGTCTATGTAATTCTCATGAAAACCTCAGAAGATAGGTAATTAGTAGACTCACTTGAGGTATCAAATCTCAGAGAAGTTAACCATGCCTAAGATGACATGTTCTATGGTAGAGGGAATTTGAACTCTGACTTCTTTTATTCCAATATCTGTAATATTTCCACAATAGCCTCTGACAAATGAAGATTCTTCACAGAAATAAAATGGTACATTTTAAAGAACTTATTTAGCAAAATGTTACAAGTTTCCTAAAAGACCAAGATCAGTATTGAATCAATTCTCTAATAATTCTGTCTATAAATTCCATTGCTAAGTTTATTTGTCAACACTACCTAATCCTCTTAACTACAACTGTGGGTTTCCAGAGGTTTCTACGCCAGCAAAATTAAATGGGGCAATATGACATGTCAATACGAGCTTTCTTCACCCTCCTTCACAAAGGAATATATTTATAGCATAAATTAGTTTCAATCTAAAATAAACTCTTGCATTCTCTGGAGTAGATTTGATATGACTAGGCAAAACAGGAAAGCTAGCAGTTTTCCAAATTTCAATTGGATGGTTACAAAATGGCTTCATGAATTGCATTGAAACATTCTGGTGAGGCACAGTAAATTATAAAAATACATTTTATAAACCAATAATCAAATGTATATTATTTACCATTTTCATTACTCATGTGTCTTTGCCCATCTAGTCACCTGAAATGCCAGAAAATTACTGAATGTATAATCAGTTGCCAAATGTGAATATACCTATAAACATTCAAACGCATTAATACTTAATTGTTTTGAATAGGAATAACCTTTCTAACAAAATTTTTTCCTGTGAACTCCCACATTGTAGTTGTTGTATTTTTGGCATTATTGACTAAGAAAATACACAGTTATCAAAAGGTATAATGACTTCACAAAAACTTAAAAATGAATGTGTATTAACCACAAAAATATCAGCTTAATTTGACAAAAACTATTGCTCACACACATGCAAGAACACATTGATTCAACTTACAGACTCTGACAATTGATGCTCAACTAACTTCATAATAAATTTTCCTATGCATTGGGGTTTAAGATGTTTACGTTAGAAACTACTAGTTTAGACGAGACTACTCGAAAACATAGTTCAGAAATATACATATTAATTTAGAATTAACACAAATTTATTGTGAAAGTTACTAGATAGGTATATAAAACACCTAAAATATAGTTTGATATAGCAAAATACATCTTTGGAATTTGAGAAGAATCTTTGAGACATTTTAAAGATATGTGCTTTATTATTACAGGGAAATTAAAACATTCATTTCATTGTTTTTGATTTACTAATAATGGTGCAGATTACAGACATTTTCCCTAAATTGTTCATTAACTTGTTTACCAATCTTTAAAGTAATTTGGAATATGAGTTTGAGATGTTGGTTCGGCTATTTCATTTCCAGCTTACTTACAAATTTGTCAACTTAAAAATATTCTTTAAGCAATGGAAATTTTGCATTTGAATTCTTACATTTTGAATACGGCTTAAACATTCACACCACTCATTTGCATACAGAAAAGCATTCCAATTTGCAATGTGTGAATCTTGATGAATTTTACACTGAAAAAATTTTCTCATCTTTAAGTCTTTTCTTCAAATTAAAAAAGATCCTTGCTATTTTCTTTTCTATACCTTTTTAAAATATTTTCTTTAATTTTATATATTTTATCTTTTTTGCGTGATTAAAAATAAAAATGTAGAAAATAATTTCTTATTAAATTTTTCTTCTCAAAGCTAAAGTAGTGGAAAAAGCTACAATATTAAATTATTTTACTTTCCTAGTAAAATTGTCTATTTTACTGGTCTACATATTTGGTCTACATATGCCTTTCGAAGCTCGTTTTTAAAACAAATCACAAAAGTAAATAGAATTTCTATTGATCCAATTATCAGTTATCATATTCCATTAAAATACAGTGCATTTATGAGACACAGACCTGTCAGAAGCATCTGAGACTTAAAACTCTCCAATATTCCAGTTGTATTCTAACTGTACCTCATTGCATGCTAGATTTCATTTGGATACAGGTTTCCTAACGCGGTTAGGGAGGTGGGTAGGCAACAGATAGGCAGGTAGGAAACAGAAGGTAGAGAGATACGGGTGAAGGGTGGAGTGGGCAAGGAGGCAAAAGTGGAGTGAGGAAGAAAGGAAAGTAACTGCTATTTTACATTCAATATCCATAGTGTATAGATAAAATATAACGCTAAGGTAATAAATATTTAATATAGGAGATTGTTCCCTAATTCCAGATAATTCCTAGAAAGTGTAGAAAATGAAAGAAAATATGCATCATCTGGCCCTTTTTTTGTCCAGTGCCTGTCAAGCTGTCTTCTAAGGAGAAATACATCATCAGGTAAACACTGTGATGTGTTAGATTGTATCAGGGTTTGTAAGTCTGGTAACAACAGGGATAAGATATTTGAAGGTCATCGGTACTTTGCTGTGGTCTAGCTCTAATTTCCTCTTATTCTTATAAGCCATCTCAGCAAACTAGTCATATGACATTTTGGTTGAGAAGCACATCATTGCCCTGGGCTTCCACAATTGAACTTCATCTACTTTAGCAAATTAAGAAAAGCACTGTAATTAATGTATATTTTGCTTTACCTCTCCCCATTCGTATGAGCCAATATTGCCAAAAGCTGTTCCTCCCCAAGAACAGAAAACAATAGTTCGGTCTGGTCTCCACCCTGTTTTAACTTTTGGCATCAAGGCACGAATAAACGCTGTGATTATTGCAGTACTACTGGCCCATTCTTGTCCATTATAACTGTGTGCAGTATGATGATGGCTGCCAACTATGATATACCGGTCTGAAAATAGAAAAGGACAAGAGCCATTTCAGAAAATGTAAACCTCAACAATAAATCTAATGACATTTACATAATCCTGTTGCACAACTGAGCAATAATTAAGCAAAACTGTTCTAATAATTAAGACTATTTCAATATTTTTGCCCGCTGTCTTAACTCACACATCTGTGTATATAAAAGCAGAGGCAGCTGTTGAACCCAATTATGAAACCAAAGCTTAGACTCACATTACTCTCCTTTATAACATGAATATTAATTAATGAAGCATACAAATATGCCACAATCAAACCCTTATCTAACATTTTTCCAGAATCAGAGTGGGAAATGCCCTGTAAACAATGTATGTATGCTCAGTAAATATCAGCGAACTATTAACACATTTGAGAAAGCACTGATTCAGTAGCTTTAAATATTAAAAATGTAGTGGTCATGTATGGATTCTGCAATAAATTAATTACATAGGGAATTAATTATAGCTCCCAACTTATAATTTCAGGCCCTCTCCTTTCTGTGAAGAAAAAATAAAATAAAATTCACCAATGTCGAAAGTCATTTAACTGTTGTAAAAGTTGCCATTGTATACATTTTATTTCATATGGTCATTCAGAATGTATTAGATACACTATTGAAGACCCTTCCTTTCACATGGAAGTAGCCTATTCAATATATATTACCGAATATTTTCAATAATAAAGCTGAAAATACCCCTTGAGAGTTTCCTCTGATTTTGTTGTCAGTGAGCGTTATTGGTATTAATAACATATCTGAATGATCTGACCAATTATCCTCATTCATCTGTGCAAAAATTTTTCTTCATTGAACATCATTTTACGTGATGGTAAATTGCGCAGACCCAGAATCCAGCCTGTTTGTGTTTGAATCCAGCTTCGCAAGTCACTGGTTGTGTGACCTTGGAAAGCTTATTTCAACTTTCAATGCCTTCATTTTTTATCTCTAACATAGGAAAACAAATAGTACATCCTCAATTTAGTTGTTTTGAGTTTGAGAAGTTACTATTTGTCTACCACTTTGAACAATGCCTACCACAAAGTAGGTCTTACACGTGTGGAATAAATAAATCACCCTTTGACTTACAACACCAAAAAGCTACCTTACGAGAAATGCCACAGTATGAAGATATTATAGTTTTCCATACAGAAACTGGCAATGGGTTTGATCTGCCAACATTTTATTAAGATGTAATTAATGGTATACGTAGTGTGTCTGTAAATGTTGAAAACTCAAGAATTTATTCACTTATCTCCCATAAAAGTCTCAAAGTTTTGCTTGGAATTTTCTGCCTTCTAAATAAACTCTATCTAAGAAACAATGCTAATTGATGATTGTTTCTAATCTTCAAAGCCATTAAATAAAAAGTCAAGTAAATAAAGTCAATTTTTTTGTAAGATTCAAATAAGCAACATTTGGGAAGGTTTGCATATTTTACACGGAAGAATACTAATCGTAAAATTGATTTTTTAATTCTAGGAGCTTATTTTGTACATTGAATTTTCTTCATTCTAAAGCTAGTATAATCTGTACAACTGGGTTTTCCAATAACAACTTGCAAATGTATCAATGATGATAAACATTCTAGTTCCTCAGTTGAAAACCTTATAATGAAATTTGTTAAAATTCAATAGTAACAATTTTCAAATTTATTTATATCTTGTACTTAAAGACACTATGATCAGAGGTTGTTCAACATTGTAACTGTAAAGAAATCCGAGAAAATAAGTGGCTTTCATGAATTGTATAAGAGTTGGCCAGCAAGAAACTGGGAGGCTACAAAACTTGATCTTAAAATTCTGAGCTAGCAACTAGGTCAATTTTACGAAAGCCATGGAAAATAATAATTCTCCAAGGAGAACTTGAGTAAATATCTCAAAATCAATAGAAATAACAAAAGTATAATAAAAAGATTGTTACATTCTACACTGTGTAACAAACACATCCCATAGTAATATGTGATTCAGCTTTACAATGTGTTTGGAAGTATTGCTATTAATGTCTTAGTATATGACATTTATTTTTACTTGTTTTAGCCTACATAACATCTGAAGATTCCATCAGTAGTTCTTAACAAAGTGTAAAATTATTTTAAAAAATCTAACGGGTGACCTTTTGATCTTTTCTTGTCTTTTTTTTTTTGAGACGGGGTTTCGCTCTTGTTACCCAGGCTGGAGTGCAATGACGCGATCTCAGCTCACCGCAACCTCCGCCTCCTGGGTTCAGGCAATTCTCCTGCCTCAGCCTCCCTCTCAAGTAGCTGGGACTACAGGTGCACACCATCATGCCCAGCTAATTTTTATATTTTTAGTAGAGACGGGGTTTCACCATGTTGACCAGGATGGAGACATCTCGATCTCTTGACCTCGTGATCCACCCGCCTCGGCCTCCCAAAGTGCTGGGATTACAGGCCTAAGCCACCCGGGCTTGGCTTTTTCTTTTTTTTTTGAGGCAGTCTTGCTCTGTTGCCCAGGCTAGAGAGCAGTGGCGTAATCTCAGCTAACTGCAACCTCTGCCTCCCAGGATCAAGGGATCCTCCTGCCTCAGACTCCCAAGTAGATGCAGGTGACCATTTTTACAAGCACATTCAAAACCTAAAGCCATGCAGACATTTGACAAACGTGGCAATGGACCAAGTATACAGAGTGGGACTTAGATCAAAACTGGACAACTAAATTTGGAGACCAAATTTTCATTAGAAAAAAAAAAAGGAAAAGAAAAACACTTAATAGCTAAAATCTTTCTTGGCCAGGCACAATGGCTCACACCTGTAACCCCAGAACTTTGGGAGGCCAAGGTGGGTGGATCACAGGAGGCCAGGAGTTCAAGACCAACCTGGCTAACATGGCAAAACCCTGTCTCTACTAAAAATATAAAATAAAAAAATTAGCAGCGCATGGTGGCAGGCGCCTGAGTCTCAGCTACTCAAGAGGCTGAGGCACAAGAATTGCTTGAACTCCAGAGGTGGAGGTTGCAGTGAGGAAAAAAAAAAAAAATTTCTAAAATGTCTTCCTGTTAAAATTTTCAACAGTGTTATGGTGAATACACAAAAAAGAAAAAAAAAAAGGTTTAACTTTTGCAGGACATGCCAGTTTACCAAATCTAAAATCATCTCCTCCTGAGAGACTCCCACCTCTCTCTCTCTCTCTCTCTCTCTCTGATTTATTTTTGAAGAGATATGGTAGGAAAGAGAATGAAGACCTACTTCTTAGTTTCAAATTTATCTAATTTAAGAGTGGGACAAATTGCTAGCTATATCTAAAGTAGAATATTTAAGTGTGATATTAAATTATGACAGAGCATTTCCTTGTAAAGTTTCATATAAAGTGCAGATTATAAATATTTAACCCTACTTACCTGGAGACGTCAAGCCCATTACATATCCAACAACGTTAGTTACTGTTTTCAATTTTGTGACTGTCTGAACTTGCATGCTGATGACTTTTATTTCTGAAAAAACAAAAATTTAAAGACTTTTGTTTCTTTATATTTTATTGTATTTTTTACATCTTAAAATTTATTTATCCAATATCACCAGCCAAAGAATTTCACAGAATAGAATGTTCTCAGATAGCCAAAGTTATACCGTTTTTGACAAATATTTATTCAATACTTGGTGCAGATTCTATTTTAGATGCTCGTTATGCAATGATGACTAAGATACAATTGCTAGCCTCTTTGAACCTCAGAGCCGTAAATAGGCACTTCTAAACCTCACATTCAGTGCTGCAATGGGGGTTCATTATGAGAGCATTCAGAAGATCTTCAGGAGATATAGGCAACACATATTTTTTAAAAGGGAAAAAATAGATTAAAACATTTCCAAAGAATATTGAATACATTTCTATTTTGAGATAAAGAACATGTGGATGATAACCTTTTCAGTATGACTCACTATTTTATTAACACTTTAAAAATGGTAAATAAAGCATTACACAACATAAAAGGATAAAGATTCTTAAAGCTGTACATGTTTTCATATATTGGAGTTTTTATTTGTATCGGGGTATGTAGGTCCTTACCTCTATTCTAAATCTATACTAATTGCTCTACCTCTTTCAATTTTTTCTGTTTATGTTTGACATTCAAAAATTTTGCAAATAAGGCAAAGACACCAATCAGGAGGGGCTCTAGTCAGAGAATTGACATAGTCTCTGGAGGTGAAATGTGTTAGTCCTGTATTTGACGGATCCTGAGAAGTCTGAGTTAGGAGGTGGTTCTCAGTGTCTTTAAAGTTTTCCTTAAAGCAGAGTAGCCAGGTGGTAGGGTCAGGACATTGTGGCAAATTTGAAGGCAGCGAATGCAAAGTAGCCATATTATACTGGTAGGCCCACAAATGTCGCTTCTTACTGGTAGATAAAAATTGTAATAATAAATACGTTACCTCTTTCCCTCAATGTACCCTTTCAAACAAATTACATGGAAAATCAGTACCCTGAATCCGTTAAAATAATAACCAAAACAAAAGGAAAGAGGCCTTTAGAGAATGCCTGAGTTTCCTATCTGTCTGTGAGTAAATCTACTTAGAGCCTGCGCACTGTGCTTTTAATTTAGGTATTATGCATTTTTGTTTGTTTTCAATTAACAGACGTTGTTTTTTACAACATTTTAGTTTTACAAAAATACTGAGCAGAGAGTACACAGTTCCCAAATACCCTCTCTCTCTCAAGATCCTATTATTAATATCTTGCATTGCTGTGGAACTTTTGTTATGATTGATAGATCAATAATGACACATTATGTATATACATACACACACATGCATTCAAGGCTACAGATTTTCTCTGTGGCTATAGCATATTAATTTTTATATATGGTCTTATTATATTACAGATTCTAAATTTTTTAAACTTCTATTTTAATTTCTTCTATAATATGTGTATTAATTCAAATAATTTTCAAATAATGGCATATAATGTGTGAATTACTGTTTTGATATTGATATCTAACTTTTAATTTATGAACAAAAAGCAAGGTCCATGTGCTACCTTGATATTAGGTGAGATTTATTTTGTGACCCTTTAGGCTACTGCATCTGACATATAGAGAATTAAATTTTTCAGCAAGCATTTTATGAAGGATATGCATTGGAATAGGAAAATTCATGGGTGCAGCATTCCACATATATGTCCAGTAGGTCAAATTTTAAAATATTGTGGTCACAAACTTACCAATTAAACTATGTGTTTGCTCTGTTAATTACTGAAACATGTTAAAGTTTCCCAAAATAATATAAAGTTTATCAATTTATTCTGGCAATACTACAAAACATTTTTCACGTATTTTTAGACAAGTTTGATAGTTTTATACAAGTTTGGAATTACTACATCTTTCTGATGAACTATTCCACATAATTCTACTCTATGCCCAACTTTTTTTCCTAAAGTCATCTCCTCCTTCCCTCTTCTTGATATTAACGTAATTGCTCCAACTTTCTCTAGGTGGTTATTTCTCAGATACATAGCTTTCCAGTACTGCATTTCCTTTTGCCAGGCATCCCAAAGACATCTCCAGCATGGGGACAATTTTCATGCTAATTGTTTGGCCCACAGTTTCTATAGTACAATTGCAGGGAACAGTCTAAGACAGGATTTTTGATTTTGAAAGGTAGATTTTTAATGTTTTTTAATCATCCAGAGCTCAAGAAGAAGAAAGCTTTCCTCTATTATGGGTGGGTTTCTTTCTTTCTAGTCTTCCTGCGCCCACGCTATACCCATCGTTTGATATAGAGGTCTTCCAGCTCCCTGCCTCCATGGGAACATGACCATGTCTTTTCTCCCACTGTGGATGCCATATTCCCATTCTAATTTTACCAAGACCCATAACTTCTCAATAACAGGCAAACAGAGTTGCAACTCTTTTACTTACTTCTCTGATTGTTAATTCTGTCTTCATTTTTGCTTCTGTATATTTGGCTATATTTTAGTTTATTTTTTGAGAACTGCTTTTAAATTTCCTTCAGAGATCTTAAACATTTGTACAGAAAGATTTCAAATTATTTTATTCTGTCTTCTACATCTTGAGGTCTAGAACTATCTAAAAGAAGCACAGAGGTTGGAGAAAATAAACATAATCTTTTGCTCCGGGAAGAATGCTATATTTATATTGGATCCTTCCAACTGACAGAAGGACTTCCTTGTGTATCACTAGGCAAAGACTAGGTCAAAATAATGACATATTTACATAGCAAAGATCTACTTTTCATCTCTTTATTTACATCTTCACAAATGTGCTGATCCTGATGCATATTGTTTTATATTATTCCATACTCACGTCTGAACATAAATATGCATAGAGTCTGTTTTTCTTCACTGGAATCAGCACCATGATCACATTTTAAATTTTAGTAATAAATATCAGAAAATCATGAATAAACTTGCTCTAAAAACTCATCTGCTGCTGTTGGCATTGCTAATTTAAACAACCCATTGGTAAGTCAATATTAGTTTTCATAGCAATAGCAATAGCAATCCTGTACTTTGAAATTTATCCTACAGGAATAATTCAACTCTCTGCAGTATAATCTATAATAGCAATTACAGAAAACAACATAAACATCCGAAACAGGGAAATGACTTAGAAAATTGGGATAAAATGTGTGGCTGTTAAAACGTACAAATAATATGTAGAAACATGGATACACTATAAGAGTGAGAAGAACAGAATACAGAAGGATATACATAATGATTGATCTTAGGTAAAAATGTGTATGATTATGAACAAACAATGAAAAAGAAGAGACTAAATAATGGAACAGAAATTGGGTTTAGCTGGCCTTCCTATATCTGCTGGAGTGAGGCACTGTTGTAAAAAGGCTTGGACAAACCTGCACTCTAAGGTATCTTTTCTATTCCAAAGCCCCAGGGATGATAGAATTAAAACCTAGAGAGACTGTCTACTTCTAGTGCGGCACCTGAAACATTGAACCCTTCTACACCATGGGAAATTTTAGAATTTTTCTCTTTATTTTTGTGCTTTTTGAATTTAACTATAAAATGTGTAGGTGTGTTTTTTCCTGGAAAGATTATTATTTCTTTCTCAACAATTTTCTGTCTTACATTTTTTCCTTCTTCTAATATTGTTTCTAGAACTCCATTTTAATCCACTGTATCTTTTAGTTGTATTTTGTGTTTCTCTACTTATCCTTTTCTATGCCTCTCTGGATCTAATAGGTCAGTCTCATCTCCTAGCTCTTGAATTTATTCTTCAGTTAGCTCTCTCTCTGACTGTATCTATCTACCTACCCTATCAATTACTATATTTCTTTCAACTCTCCTATTTTCCATATTATTTCCTTTCATTTCTTAATGTTTTCTGAATTTTGTTTTATATTGCTAACACATTTCATTCTCTTTTTGAGTTTAATGCTTATTTTAAATTCTTGTACCATGTGTTCCAATATTGTAACTTTGGGTGACATATGTATATATTGTGCTAATTTTCTTTTATGGTGGTTATAGACCTCAGGATCTAGTTATTTTGGTCTGTAGTCCAGCATGGTATATCAGGGCCCAAGGATGGTGAGGATAGTGTCTAAGTGTGTGTGTGTGTGTGTGTGTGTGTGTGTGTGTGTGTGTTTACCTATGTGTGAGAAGGCTTTAATATGAGGAGGAAAGCAAGTGTCAGGGGAACCAGTGCAGGGAGACAAGCCACTAAAGCAAAGTGAGAAGGCCATCTGCAGTTAAAAGCTGAATAACACGTAGTGTTAGGGCCTGGGTAGCATTAACCACATTGTGGCAGGGGAAGACACAACGTTTGATATACAGTGAATAGCCTGAATGAAGCAGTGCCTGGGGCTGGGTCCATTGTGAAGGATGTAATGGCATCAGTTGATTAAATGCACAGGATCTAATTACTTAAGTAAATATATTCTGTATAATGAGAAGCCAATTTCTAACTGCTAGAGAAAAGATTTACAAACATGGAAAGATAAATAAAACTCAATATTGATATGTTCTCGTGGTTATATATATATATATTTAAATTTATTTTAATTATATTTATATTTAAATTATAAAATTTAATATATTTTATATATTATATATAAAAAATGAGAACATATCAATTTATATTAATTTATATATTTATATATATAAAACCATGAGAACAATCTACATATATGTTGTTGATTACATACATATCTATATATATTCATGAGAACATACATATATACAAAACTGTGTGTGTGTGTGTGTGTAACACCCATGCACATAGATTTAAAAGTAAATATAGCTATAAATCTGAGTGTACAGATATATTTTTATATATTTACATAAAATATAACATCAAAATATATTTTCCTAGTTTTGTTCACTGAGTGGTATGGAGAGAAGCAACACCTCAACAGCAATGGATGAATCCAGATCTGGTTTTCTAGACACCATTTTCCACTCAAAGGACCTAGACTCTTTGGAGAAATGGCTGATAACAGAGCTGGCACAGGAAAAGTA